TTTGAGCTGAAACTTCACAGACACATTCTGGGGACACCTGAGACTTATGTTACATTTTGTAATATAAGACAAAAGGGGCATAAGAGGTCTCCTTTAAAGTATTATACAACATTTTAAAGTTGATGGAGTGTAGATGTCATGTTAGTATCATAACCTGAGGGAAGAACAACTGCAATCAAGAGAATCATGTTCAATTTCAGTTTTTAGCACAGTGTCCAGATTTTCTGGTTTTGTTTCTGGAAAAGAATCTTAATTTCATTGCATCACTAACTGAGTGAAACACATGCCCTGTCCAAACACTCACACTTGCAGTCTTGGCCACTTGAGAGCGCGCGTGTTCAAGGGCAGGCTAGTGTAGTGCATCTCGAACAAGCCTATTGTCTTGTGTGTTAACCGTGAACATACTCTGGGTGCTTCTCAAACGGAAGGCTGCATATCTCGGCTGCTACGTCATCAAACGTCGCTGAAGGCCATTTCAATCGGAAGGATCCTCGGAAGGCAGCCTTCTGCCTTGTCCAAATACCCGCACTTGCGGTCTTGGCCAATTGAGAGCGCGTGCACGCAACAGGAAGTAAGTGCGCAAGACTGTCCCAGGTCTTAAAAACGCCAAAGCACAGTGCCCTTAACGCGCACTAAACCCACACTATCTCCAGGACTGCTCCAGAGCGCTATTCCAGGCTTAGTGTATCCCATCATGCATCATGTTCTGGAAAGACTCTTAGTGTTTGAATTTGAAGTTGAATTTAAAACACAAAGTATTTAAAATAAAAAATAAAGCTATGTAAACACTTGCATTTTTACAACACTATAAGTGTGTCCCATCAGGTGATGAAAAGTTCTACACACACTTGTGGTCTTAAAAGGCCCAAAGACCGCAAGTGTGGGTATTTGGACAAAGTAACTGATGCATCACAACACTGAGCAGCCAGACGTGTCATCATCTGACTCGACCAATGATGTGTGTTTGGGGCGGGGCTGTCTTTTAGGCTGACCAATGGCAGACGGAGTGTTTGTGGATACTAGGGCTGCGACGATAAATCGATGCAGAATTGATTCGTGGATGGATTCTGAGATCTTCTGAATGCATCGCGATTCTCTGGAATGGATTCTGAGCTTATATTTTAACAGCAGATGGCGCTCTACTCTAGTTTTTATCTGCTGACTCAAATGCTCATGAAGAAGAGCTGAAGAGCGCTTGTGCATTCAGCTGAGTCTGTAATTTCACCTCGGCTCAGAATGCTTTTATGACACCAGATTAATGTAAACAGCCCACTGTGAACACGCTTCAACCTTTTCGAATCTTATGAATGATTATTTTAGGTTCGAGTGTGTGTAAGGATTTGGAGACAAGCAGAGTTCGGATGTTTCTGAAGCATGCTGTGTTCAAAACTAAGCTCAGAATCGACTGGAGAAAGAATTGCGACGCATTCGGAAAATCTCAGAATCGATGCGGAATCATTTCTCAATTCGTGATGCATCGGTTTATTTTCCCAGCCCTAGTGGAAACCTGTCAGGAAATCATCAGTTCTGTTGGTGGAGCAGAAATGACGCACCGCAGCTTTAAAAAGAGTGACCTTGATCTCATTCAGCGCTGTGAAATAACTTGCAGACATGCCTGTTTTTTTTGCTTAATTCGTTTTTAATTGCCATTTTTTGATCTAGTGTTTCTCGTGTCCAGATCAGTGGGCTGCTGTTGTGCTGTGTTCAGTTTGAGTCACTCCACGTGTGTCTGATCTTGTTTGATCACTAGTGCTTCAGTGTGAGTGTGAGAGAGAGTGTGTGTGTGTGTGTGTGAGAGAGAGTCAGCATGCTCTTCAGGAACTTCACTCTGGAGAGCATCGTGGAGCGCTACCGTCAGGCGGCCCGCGCGGCCGTGGCCATCATGTGCAACGCCTGCAAGCCGCCCGTTCAGGAGGCCACCAAGAGCTGCATGGACTGCAAGGCCAGCTTCTGCAACGAGTGCTTCAAGATGAACCACCCCTGGGGAACGCCCAGAGCCCAGCACGAGTATGTGGGACCCACCACCAACTTCAGACCGAAGGTCCGTATCAACCCCGCCACCGCTGCGCTATATCAGCTGCTGTCCTTGATCTAACCCATCAAACCCTGGGTTCCAGGTGCTCATGTGTCACGAGCACGAGATGGAGAAGGTCAACATGTACTGTGAGGTGTGCCGGCGTCCCGTGTGTCATCTGTGCAAGCTCGGCGGATCTCACGCTAATCACAGAGTCACTTCAATGAGCAGCGCCTACAAGATCCTGAAGGTGCGTCCAGTGTAATAACATTCATCTGTCCATGTTCAGAAGAGCTCCTAAAGAGCTCATAAACAGCATTTTTTATTTTGTAATGTTTTCTGAGGTGCTCTATGGAAGCTTGTGTCCACCACAGAATTAAAAAAAGATAAGGATAATATTCTGACTTTTTTTCTCAAAATAGCAGCAAGTTTACTTGCTTTTTACTCAACTTTCTTTTTTTTTTTTTTTTTTTTTGTTTTTGTGGGACCCTATTACTTTGACTATAAGGAGGAATATCCAAAATCTAAATGACCAA